GGTGGGGAACAGAAGAGTGATTTACAGATGTAAAAAGACAGACATGAAGGCAGAGGAAAGGTAGGATGAGTACTGCGCCAGAAGTCAATCGCCAGTTAATAGACTTTTTTGCCGTATGAGTATACGTTGCCCAGGGGGGCACCACGTGGAGGTAAATCTATCGCGCACCCCATGTGTAATATTATTTTAGCTAAACAAGTTAATCCATTACCTAACATTTTACACAACCTGCGAAGGTATATCATCTAGCAGAGCGAAATATTTTAATTGACCTTGTTGTGGAGATAATGTACAATCTCAATTTCACAAACCTTTTAATTTCCCGAAATGTTGGAGCTTTCGCTCCAACCACTCTTCTGTTTGACTAACTCTCAGGGTGTTCAAGAGACTTACCTTCACGTGGTACAAACTGGGCAATGTATAAACCGGAAGTTGACATTTGACATTAAATTATCATGACCTCACTGTATGTCATATTCGACCACTCCTACAGTAATCATCTTACCTTTTCCTCTACAGTTGTGTCTGTCTGCCTCTTTTACATCTGTGAATCACTCTTCTGTTTTTTTTTTTGCTACTGGTACCCAAGACTGCAATTTTCACCCAACAGATATTGGAAACCACTAAATAAGCCCACCAAATCAATTGTCTCGAGATTCATGTCCACCAATCCTATTCTAATTATACACAGTTCCTTCTAAGTTTAGCCTTAGGATACTTCCACCACACTGAAGTCAATTGATTCAGGTATTTACTAATGTAGATTTGGAAATATTTAAAAATCTAATTGCCACACTTATCAAACAATCATATGTAATGTGCTGGTAGATTATATTATCTATAATTTAAACCTTGAAATTAAATCAACTCAGTTTTTTTAAAGTATTCACAATGTGAAATCCAGTAGATAATTCTATTTATATCTTAAATCCCAACATTTAAGGCACATTGCAATTTGATTAAAATCGTTTGAATTTGAAATGTTTTCGAAAAATGATGTAATCAGCTACAAAATTGACATTCATTAAACAAAAGGTTTTTATTGAACACTAAAGTTACTGAAGGTAGGTTGCAGAAGTGATTGAATATAATCACTTTACGTCAGCATTTGCTAATTAAAGAGCGTTCACTACATAACCACGTGGTTTACTTTCTGCTTTTAAAGTTTGCTTTAGGACATATGAGTGGGTTTACTCACCACGTTTAGACTTTCTGGGAACCAATGAAAGCAAAGCAAAATTTTGCACTACCAATAACACAACAAACAATCTACTTTTAATGCCTCATTGGTTAGCCTATTTAACCTTCACTTTCTATATATTGCCACGCTTTTGGAGTAAATAATTATCAATCTCGGATTATATAAATTTTTGTGGCTCCTCTGAGCGCATGCTTGAGTAAGTTAGGACCTGATTTTATGACTTTTAATCTTGATGCGATTATTTAAAAGCACATTTTGTTACAGTCCTCAAATCGCTAAGCAGATACTAAAGCTCCTGGATTTTGATGATTCAGGGACTGTTCGAGTTTCCGATCTCCGGAAAGCCTTCATGGGTACTGGATTATCGCAGGCCGACGTGAACGAATTCATTCGAGCTTATGCTCGGGTCGATAATGGTGTTATTAATCTCGAAGAACTTACAGAAATCCTCAACACCGTCCACAGGAAGACCAGCAGAGCCATCTGAAAACAGTTTAGAGCAGCATTTATCCACCCCCCCCCCCCCCCCCCCCCCCCCCCCCCACCCCTCTCTCAACTGCATCCATATTATCAAGCATACTCTCTTTTTCTCGGTGATAATGGGGCTATTTTTATACACTGCACATCAAATCTTATATTTACTAATTTTAAATAAATTTGGCCTATTGATTCGTTAAGGCCACAAGATTAAATCGCTGCTCTTATTCTATGTGTCAGAACGTAGGTGTTTAATTAACTGATCTAAGTAGTTTAGTGTTTTCCATCAGTGGGGCAGGAAAATCAATCGTGTCTGATTAATTGGCAAGAAAGTTTAAAATCGACAAAGTTTTAAGGGATGAAATTTACTGTGTCGGTGCTAAGGTTATATCGATTTTGTTAAATCGATTTTCCAATATCGAAATAGGTGAAAAAAGGGTTCCTTTTTCCACTCTAGTCAAAAGAATGAATAGGAATTTAATGCTAATATATACATTTTCATTAAAACCGCTATTCCCAAAGTACGTCCTAATTGGATTTTTGGAAATATTCCACCTAAATGGACGTAAATTCAGTACTGTCAGAACGTATGCAGTCACTGACATCCATCATCTTAAGCCATGGTCTAGACTACAGACGTCGTTTTTTTAAACCACATAAAATGAACTACCACGTATATTAGCCCAAATGTAAAAGGGAATACGAAAATCCCCCTACTTATTCTCGAGAGTTATATGTACAACCTAACCTCGGAATTATAGTCTCAATTTCCTTCCACTACGAGACGAATTAGGACTCTAAATCGGTTCATTTTATTCAATTGAGGAGCCTTTAGGGGTTAAAAGAGTTGTAGCTGACTACTTTTGAAGGCTATTAAGTGAAAATAGATTTCGTGGGCGTTGAAGTACAATCATATTTTAATATTGTAGTCACCTGATAGCAAAGGAAAGTGCTGTTATCAAAATGCAATCAGTTCTAATGGGGGTTTTTTAGTCATTAGAGATGCAATAAGTACAAATAAACTTAAAGTAAGTGAACAGTAATGGGAATACTAATTAGTGAGTTTAAATACTAAACTCAGAATTTATGTTAATCACATCTCTCTTACCTCTTTTTCTTTGGCTCTATAGCATAAAAATAACTTCCACCTTGAACTGTCAAAAATTGGAATTGGGAGGTTCATTAACTTGAAGAGGATTGCAATTGAGCCGGCTTAAACGCATTCCCATCAGTCAATGAGCTACTTAAATGGATGATTGAGTACGCATTGGAGTGTTTTGCTCAAAAATATTTAATAAGTGTTGGAAATGTGACCTAAAATTAACTGAACTCATTCATTACTCGTTTACCCCTAACAACACCGACATTGATATCGATCACCGGAATTAATTTGAATAACGAAATGACAAGAATCCAATAGGGCGGGAAACGCACAAAATTCTATGTTATTAAAAGTGACAACTCATCTGCATTATGGTCTCTAAATGCCTACTTTTCACTCGAATAAGTACTTAATCACTGCATTTTATTGTCCTGAATTGATGGTTGATATTCAAATTCTAGCTACAATACTCACTTTGTGTTAACTCAGTACATGCCTTGTCATTGGTTAGTTAATTCCAAAATGGTTCATATGTGTCATTTTTATGAGGTAAGTACTTCTTTTGGAGACAGACCAAATTAGGTCAGATAACCAGCCCTACAAACCCCCCACCCCCACCCCCACCCCACCACCCACCCTCCAAACCGTCAGAAAGAGAACGAAAGATCTTCTAAACGTAGACACTGTGGAGTATTGAAAAATGACACATGAACGAGAAAAAACGGTGAAATTGGCATTCGGAGGAATTGGCAAGAATGTGGATGCCGTCAATATTGAACGAGAACGCAAGCCCATTTGAGAAATAAGAAAAAAGAGGTGAGTTACAGGGTTCGAGTCCCTTTTTACGTTGATAAGCGACTGAAAACTGGGGAAAAGTTTGAGTCAGTAGGTGCGAAATACATGGAGAGGTGTGGAGAGGGTGGTTATATAAATAATATTCAGTGAGCATATGTACTATGTAGTAGGGTGCCAGCCTATCACATTTAAGGAAAATAGACATTGTCTCCAATGTCGTACTTCCAAAATTTTACTTGCTGATAGCGAAGGAAGCAAAATTTATTTATTTCAAATGGCAGGCATTTTGATAGTTATCATTAGTCCTTTCGTTGACTTCGGGCTTCACAGAAAGGAGGAAAATTAAAATGAAAATTAATTCGATAGGGGAAAAGAAGAGCGATTCACAGATGTAAAATAGACAAACAGACACAAGGGCAGAGAAAAGGCTAGATGGGTACTGTGGAAGGGGTCGAATATGACATACAGTGGGGTCATGGTAGTTTGAAGTCAGAGGTCAACTGTCAGTTAATAGACTTTTTTGCCGTATGAGTATACGTTGCCCTGGGTGCACCACGTAGAGGTAAGTCTATTGCACATCTCGTTTGAGCAGAAAATGGATTTCGATCTAATACACTTACATTTTGCCATTCTTTAGGATATGAAAAGCCAATATTTTCCTTTTCTAAAAGGCGCATTTTTGGATATAGCAAAGGGTCTCAAATTTAATTATATAAGCCCCTAAAGCCATATTTACATTATGCTGCAATCCAAGCACAACTCAGAAATACTAAAACTCTACATTATGCAGGTCAATAAAGGAGTATTTGCTGATAGCAAGTGTATCAAATTTTACTCTTGTACTTTAATTAATTTATTGAATAACTGCGCTATCGTGAAAGCACATAGGAAGAATGATAAAATATCAACCTAATACAGTCGGATTTTTGGGAGAGATAAATGTGTTTAGATGACAACAAGACTTGAATTAAGTGGAAAGGAACTCGGTAAGGGAACCAAGAGTCGAATTGTTGCAATTTAAATGGTTAGCATTAGGGATTGAAGGAAATAAGGGTCCGAAGAGTACAGAAATCCAGGGATTATGAGGTATTTGCATTGCCAGCGCTTCCGTTCACACATTTGCCACTCTTCAATGCTTCCCACAATCATAGCAATATGCACGAGAAGAGACAAAGAGACAAATCGATATTAGCCTGAAAGTGGCATAGTTAAATTCTTTCGCAAAATTGGCGTACAATTTGTGCTTAAAAATGGAATGTGGATGCAAAGACGTATCGAAATCCGAATGTATGTAAAACTAAGTTACTTTATTTTCAGACATTTCGCAACGCTATTTGGTCATATTGATTTTTCGTGCACATAGAAAAGAGCTCGATTTAATACTGACTATCATCTGATTTACTGGTCTTCTAAGCAAAATTAATCGATTTTATCGAGTTATCGGAAAACTAGAGCTCAGCAAGTGCACCATACATGACATTACTAGCTCCACATCTGAAGTACTAAGTAATTAAATGCGATTTAAGATTAAGCTTCTACTTCTTCAAACTCTAAAAGTATTTAAACTCGAGGTATTAAACATAGACGCGTTGACTCAAACAGCTTCCTGGTGGACGTAGAGAGATGCCAGTAAATAGATGAGACATTAGCCACTGTTAAATTAAATTAATCGGTTGTTGAGTTCCCTCGAAAACTTAGCAATTCTTTCAGTCTAAATTCCCTCGTATCCCATCATTCCCCAAAGTACTCATGCAACCTCAACGATAATAAGGAAGCAAAGGTGTTTACCCAAACACAAGTGTGATTGCTATCGAACGCATTTGTTCCATGCATCATCACAACTAGAGGCTCTACAAAGTCCAACCCACGGTAAAAACAGTCCGATGGGAGCACAAACTTCACTTAAAATCTCCACTTGGAACCGAAGGGAAATCCATCTTACATGAAATGCAATTGCTTACTTTGCATTATCTCCAAAATTCAATGCACCAAAGGTTCTTCCCACATGTTAGACAGAACAGAAAAATAGTTATTCCAAAGAGGATTTATGTAAGCGTAAAAGTTTACAGGTCTTCTGACAAGAAATTAAATGCGCTTCAATCTTCCTAACTCCCGCGAACAAACAGGACAATAGTGTACAGTGTCCTTGTAGGACTTCAAACAGAATGGTATGAAGCAGCAGAATATGCCACACCTAAAGTATACTTTGAATAGTGAAACTCAAACCTACCCTATAATACTCAGCACACAGCTCGCGAGGAAGGTAAAAGCTCCATCCTTCCGTAATATAGCCGTATCAACGTCACTTTGACAGGACGTACAAAAAGCTCTTGTGCTCGTTTCACCAAAATGAGGACTCGAAGTGCCTACTTGTCTTGGCGTTGAACTATGTGCAATGCTGTATTAGCAAATTGTTAAATAAGAACAATGAATCAAAATTGTTAAAGTTTAATTCAAGCCTACACTACTGCTCCAGTATCGACGCCCATGACAATACCACAACGCCACAACAACCGAAAATGACGGATATGACGTAGCGGCTGTTATGTCTTCTAACTAACCAATAGGAAACGCAACAACACCTGGGGAAAACTTAATTGGTTCCTCTAGATTAATGAAAGCGGTCTCAGATCTGCACCCACAACCTCTCGTCCACTCCCACGATATGTGGGGGGGGGGGGGGGACAAGTCAACTTTCGGCCTGTTTGCTCACATATGGAATTTATCTGTTCAGCCTCGGTCCCGTTTTGGGCTCCAAAATGCGAAATCAAATTTAGTCGATAACTGTATCGATTAGTTAAAATGACTAAGCTTTAATGTACTCTTTTATTGCTAGAGTTAGCTATATGGAGTTGCACGTATTATTTTTTTGTAATCGGATTAACACGCCATAGAATGGGAATTGAATTGTGTGCAGAAGCAATTTGTAAAATGTCAAATCTGATTATTTTGCCATAATTGACGCCACCAGTTCAAACTTGATTTTCAATGTTACGTTAATGTTGAGTTCTGGAAACTGACTTCCTGCAAGCGTTCCATTTAAATGGAATAATGTAGATGACATGAGAAGTAAATGATTTGGGCGTCGAGTTGCCGTGATTTAAATGAGATGT